GTGGAACGGGACATCAGCAGGTCAGCGCTGGGGGAGGATTTCAGTGCTTTCAGACAGCTCGGGCACAGCTCAGCATCTCAGCCCAGGTGAGGTGATGGAGGAGAAGAGCAGAGCGCTGGCACTGCTTCCCTGCAGCCCCTCCCAGACAGCTGGGGCTGTGCAGGTGCCATGGGACCCCAGCCAGGTGGGAAAGCCCCAGTAAAGCTCCCTCCATCCTGCATCCCGTGTCCTGCCCCCTTGAGCCACCCCGTGGTCCACAGCGGAGGAGAGGTGGGTGCTGGAAGGACCCTTTGGCCTGAGGGGAGCCATCCATTGAGGTGGGGGGACCACCACGGTGCGAGGAATGGCACTGTGCTCCCCTTAACGCAGCCGTACCCGTGCATGAGAGGCTGACGTGTCTCACGCATCCCTGGCTCTTAATGCTGCAAAGGCTCCACGAGCGGCGAGCACCGGCAGCCGAGGGCTTTATTTAAAGACCAGTAATTTTCTGTGTCAGAAGATCATCTCTGGAGTAGGATCAATTCACTCTCTTGAAAATGCTGTGGCAGAGCACAGCCAGAGGAGGTGATGAAAGCGTACAGGGCTGTATGGAGCATCCCTGTGACACCCAGGGCTGTGTCACGACAGCACCAAGCACCTGTGAAGATCAGGTCTCTATAAATTGCCATTACAGAGGCTATAAACCTCTCTGCACTGATTTCTCTCCTTGCGACATCCCCACGGCAGGGCTGGCATGGGATGCGGGGGGCTATTACCATCTGGGACCCCAGCTCTCCCTGGGGTTCTGCTGTGGGCTCTGGGTCCCAACGGAGCCCTGCTCCAGACCGCACTGCCCTCCACCCCTCCCCAGCACCCAGCCTTTCTTCCCGGGGAGCTTTCAGCTGTCAAGCATTTGGTTTTGCCCTGCTGAGTGTTATTCTAAGCAGATATTCCTGTCCCCATGCAGAGGGCAATAAATCGGCCACTGCCTCCCATCACCATTATATTTAGTCTGGGGCTGCTCACAGCATCAGTCACCCAGAGCAAGCGGATAAACAGATACTCCGTTACTGATATCTGCATCTCTCTCCCTGGCTCAGCCCTCCCAGCCAGGGAAAACAGCGAACCAGCCATGCAAACACAGGTAAAAGCCTCATCTTCCTCCTGCCCGCATCCACCTCTGCTCCGAGAGCTGCAGGACCTGGTTCCGATGGATTCCCCCACGCCCAGGGTTTCACCCCCTCTCCTGGACACGGCCACCTGCTCCCCTCGGGGATGGAGATGGTGTCCCACTGCCTCTGCGCTCCCCCAAGGACAGGGGTCCCTGTGCTGTCATGGCTGGGAGGTGCACTGTCCCCTGTCCCTTCGTGCCATGGCAGAGGAGACACCGACCCTGCTCCCCTCCATCTCACCCCCCCCAGACCCATTTTCCTTTCTTCCCCAGCTGCACCCACAGATCTGGACCCGGGATGCCAGAGGGTACTGCAGTGCCAGTCCTGGGGTGGCACCACAGGAAGCCCCACGGGGCCGGCGTTGGCTTTCCAGCCCAGGTTGATCCCCTTCACATCGAGCCGAGTGCCCGAACGGACGGGACTTGCTCCTGAGTTCGTCTTTTTATGGCATTCACAAGAAAATAAAAATATCAGGGTCCCAGATGGACAAACCAGCAAGCAAACCTCAATCTGTGCCTCGTGCCCCTGCGAGGGGCTCAAAATCCACCCAGAAAGAGCAAGCCTTTGCTTTAAGCGCTGGCAGGGGCAGAAGGAAGGGGGCTGGTACCCGGGTATCTCACCTGGCCATCGGGCAGGAGCTGGGGTGTCGGGGGGATGCGCCTAGAGGAGCGGCAGATCCCTGGGGCTGTATTGGGCTGCCTGGGCCCAGGGGATGCGCTGGAGAGCAGGGCCAGGGGGAGGGGGGCCGGCTGTACCCCAAACTCCTCACCCAGCCCCAGGGAGGCTCCTGGTGCCACCTCTGAGCCGGCCATGAGATGAGAGCATCATGACCTGCTACCGCTCTGCATCCTCCCTGATGAGTGGGGACGGGCTCCTGGTCTGTCCCCAGGGAGGTTTTATCTTAAACAAACATGACTGCAAGTGCCCATGTTCCAGTTAAAGTTCAATAAAAGCAGATTCAACTGGGATTGGAAAATAAATAGGCTAACCTGAGCTGCCATGAGGTCCGACAATGGGCAGGGAGATGAGGGGTACGTGGCTGAAACCTTCCCAGCACAGGGATTTATCCCCTGTTGTTGTTTTGGTTTGTGGTTTTGTTTTACCGCCACTGCCAAATTTGCTCCCCAGTATGATGAGGAAGCCAAGGGGGTGGGGGCTGGGGCTTCTGAGCCTCCCACCCTTGTCTCTGCTGTACACAGCTCCAGGAGCAGCCCCGGGGGGCTGCAGGGACCCCAGAACCGGTCCTCATCCCAGCAGGGTTTGACAAACCCCTTTTGCTGCCTCAAAATAACAGCCAACACCAAGGAAGCTGCAAGAGCGGGGAGCACACCCAGACCCTGGCACATCCCCCCAGCCTGGCCCACTGCAAAAAAAACCCCAGAGAAACGGGGCTCCAACTGCAAGACGCTGGGAATCACAGCCACGTCCCCCCGCCTGTCCCCATCCGTGTCAGGGGATCCACTGTCCACCGGAGCAGAACGGGAGGCAAGGGGAGGGTGATAAAACCCCGCAGGAGCCTTGGAGGAAGCCAAAGGGGAGGCAGAGGGGGCTCAGCCCCGGTGTGGGGCAGCAGCCCTGGGGTCAGGTCTGTGGTTGCATCCCACGATCTGAGCATCGCTCCCGGCTCCACGCTCAGCTCTTCAGGGGGTGCGAAGTGCTCAACTGCAAGCGTTGGGATGGTGCTAGCTGCCATGACTGATCTTAATTAACATGTTGCAAAGACATTCCTTACCATAAAAAGCCAAGGAGCACCAGAGCCGCTCCCCAGCGCTGCTGACCCTCGATGTCAGGCCGAGGCGGCGAGCGGCTGCCCTGCGTGCACCCCGGGAAGGGGGGCTCTGGCCGAAGCTGCTGCTCCCAAAGCCGGTCTGGCTGCTGCAGCGGGGGCTCGGCAGGGCTGGGAGCCCATCCACCTCGACACATCCATTCCCTGTGCAGGAGGGGTTAGAAGCAGGGTGAGCGGGAGGCTGGATTTAGGGAACAGGGACTGGGTGGCTCTGCTTGCTCTTTAGCTCAGGGAAAAGGAGGGTCTTGGGCTCCTATGTAAGAGCCCCACAGCCAGGAACAGCAGCAGACACCTCTTCCACCAGGTACTCACCACTTCCAGCTCCTTGTCCCTGCACAGCTGCCCCTGAACCACATCCTCAGCCCCCAGCAGCCTCTCACGCCGCTTTCTTCCTCCAGAAGCGGCCAGGGCATCGGGGGAGAGGACAACCCAGGCAACTTCTGTTGCTGGCAATGGAGAAAACAGGAGGGAGCAGCACACTTTGCATCCCATTCTCTGACTGCATCTCCCCACCTCTGAGCTGAGCTGGACCAGCTCCTCACCAGTCCCAGACCAGTGCAGCTTTCCCAGGGGAATGGGCTGACAGCAAAGCCCAGAAATGCCCCTTTCATGCCAAACAGAAGTGTTCCCAAAGTCGCCAGAGAATCCAACGCGGTCCCATCCCAGCCCCTAATGGGTCTCATACATTTTCTGTGGGCTCTGGTCAGCACAGGAGCATCAGCACAGGGAGGACACCAGCTCCTCAACATCTGCAGGCAAAGCTCCCCCCTTTCCCTCCCCTGCCTTTGCCTGCAGATGTTCCAGGTGAATCTCCTCACCCTGGAATCGGCTGCAATAAAACATGTTTTACAGCCTCAGCCTGAGCACAAGAAATTCCACACGCTCTCCTGGAGAAAGAAATTCAGATCAGACCACTGCTGGGGCAGAAACAGACCCAGAAAAACAGAACTCGGCTCCTTCTGGTGAATGTCAGCATGCGGGTCCAGCAGGCTTGGTGCCGCACATGATGCGAGGCAGCAGTGCTTTGCTTATGCTTAAAAACAGTCTGTCCAGTGCCTGCCAGTTGTCAGAGGCTCTGGGAGCTGGCAGAGGAAAGAACAGCTAGCACTGAAGTCTCACTTTTCCTGAAGCATTTGAGATCTGAGAGCTGGAGGGAAGGTCCCTGCCAGGGAGAGCTCTTGGGGCAGCACGGCGAGCCTGCATGGCCAGACACACGGAAACCAGCCGGGCAGGGGCATCAGGGGCTTGGACCTGCACAGCAGCCCAGCTCGGGGCTGGACAAGCCTGTCAAATGTGCTGGTTTTCAGGCACTTGCCACACAACTGAGAGCGGGTTTCAGACCATGCTCGGGTCCAGGTTGAGAAGG